ACACCAAATTTCAAGGGTGGTCAAAAAATTTCATTTCCCACTTTGCTTGAGTCTTACAGAGACCTACTCTTAATGTTCACTCTTGACTCAGGTTTTATTACCTGAATGATTCTGATAGCATCATCAACTGTCATTTGTACTTCTTCTTTTACCTGGTAATGAAAAATAAATATCTTTATTTAAGTGTCTAGTCATTCTAGATCTTTTGCACTAATTGGGGACACTTTTCCATCACACGCACTATCACTACATTCAATGTTCTATGGACACAACGCTCAACTAACATGTTGATTTTGAACCCTTAGAAAACCCTCGTAGCATAGKAAAGAACAACACATCAAATAATCTCAATTCACATATGGCGTGCACAGGGCTCGAACAGAAAGTTTGGCCACCGAGAAATATTGTATTTAAACACATGAAAAAATTTGACAATGTTATGATATTAATCTGATTACTCTTAATCACTTCAGGTGCCTTCATGCAGTAAGTCAAATATTCTACTTCAGGTTTAGATTTTAAAAGGAAATCAAAAGTGCAGTAGCGGTTAAAAGTGCACCTGTCTCTCACTTCTAGTGTGTGTGTGTGCTTGGGGGGGGAGTGGGGTCTGTGGTTTGATTTCCGTACTCACCATCACTTGTGAGTAGAGTTTGTTAGTCTTTCCCTTGATTCAAGGGTTTTTTTCTCCAGATTAACCCCTAGTCCCTAAATCTGAACTCGATAACTGTGGGTTTCTGGTGCCCTGGTATAGGTCTGATCAGCCAAGAGGTTTTTCAAGGTATCAATAAAGTTTGAAGGAGGTTTCATATTTACAATACTTACAGCATGTGTCTCTTGGGGACCCAACTTTGCTAAGATACCACCAAGAAGCTTCTCTCTTTCTTGAAACTCTTTGGAGTTTTCATAAATAAAGTACTTGGGGATGGGAATTTCAATATCATCCTGTAAAAATCACATGCAGCAAAACTATTATCAATGACTCTGAGCAATCAYGAACTTCAAATCCTTTGATGATGTAAATTAATACTGTATAATGATCTGTGAGTTAGCCATGCACTGACTTTGGTCAGTTCAGAGGTTGTTCCAAGGTATCTACAGTCTCTGTGCACACATAGCAGCAACCTGCTAAATTCCTTCCCAACACAAATGCTTTAAAAGGCAGCTATAGCTATTATATTAGATGATATAATCTTAGATTTGTAGTATCATATTGTTCTCTACTTACAGGAGTCAATTTGAGATCTGATAAAACATCATCGAAATAGTGGAATTCTGAGAACTCTAACTGGACCATTTCATTCTTCATTTCTAAAACCCTGTCATTCAAAATAATTTAATTATTGATAAAGTAGATAGTAAGGAGGGCTGGTATGAATCAATGTGTGGCATGTTAAAAATCAGTTCTCAACCTGCTACCCCCCCCCCCCCCCCCACACACACACACATATTTGTTATGTTAACCTTCCAACTTTTGCTGACCTCTCCCTCTCTACTCTACACCCTACTACACAACCCCCATAATCTTGCTATTTGTTAACTAGTGTGTGAATATACCCTTCTCAAAAGTATCCCGCATGTGAGCGGAGCAATTTTAGAATACCCCGCAAATGATATGCAGTTGTCGGAGTTCTTTGAAGAACTATGCATACAACRATAGAAGTCATGGTCATTAAGTATGTGCATATGATTTGTGAGGTATTCTAAAAGTATACAGTATATTTAGTATTTGATTGACTAGTTAATTACCTTCCCATAATTCCATCCAAAAGATGTCTGAGAACTCTTCTCTTCTGAGGGTGAACGACCTTTTAGACAAAAAAATAACATTCATCACAAGTACGAAGTTACTAGACAGATGAAAAATTTCTTTGTTCATCTTTATAGGACAATAAGTGAATTTGGTGCTGTACCTGATCATAACATTCTTCAATCCTTCTAAAAATTTGGATATATTTTATATACATGACAGCAAACATTTGAAAAGCTGCAATACGATCCTAAAAACAGAGGGGAAAAGTAGCAATAAGTAAACTGTTATACCTTGCACTTTGAGCTAAGCGTTACCACTCAGATTAAGGTTATATTTGAACAGTTATTACCTTTTCTGGCTTGACCGGCTCTGCTGGTAGCTCGATTTCCAAAAGATCTAAGATTCCTCCTTGTGTTTCCCCCCATTGCTTGTTGTAAAGGCTGTCAGTAGAAAGGTTAATGATGTTATGAAAAAAATATCTACAGAAAGTTGAACCAGATTTTGAGTTCAATTTAATGGAGAGTTCTTGGTTTCCTTTGCTTAAAAAAATAACACGCAGAAACGAACTTTGACAGCAATTATTTCTCGTATTATTATTGAATTGCCAAAATTTTAAATACAAATCATTTAAAGAAGAAGAAAATAAGTACGTTTAGTAAGCTTATAAATTCAACTTTGAGTTCAACATGACAAACGTTTTCTAGAAAATACCAGTGTATATCCCTCAAATGTATTTACACTTACGTGTGAGACATTGCTATTTATCTTTCTCCTGTTTAGTGGTTTAGAAATACAGTCTTATGAAGCCTTTATTGTAGTATTTTTCCCTTGTTTTCAGCCTTGTTATGTTTGGACTTGAGTCGCCATTTTGAGTTCTGCTTATACTAGGTTACCATGACAACAAGGGAAGGRTCAACCGCTGGTCAGAAGTACAGATTTAACCTCATTTAACGAAGCCAAACGAATTTTTTTTCAACAAATTTGTATAGGAAATCGCACGATTTCGAGTACAATTTGGAGATTAATAGACACGAGTAATGTTTTGAACGTTCTTATAATTGCACGAGCCTTTAGGCGAGTGCAATTAAAGAACTTTCAAAACATTACGAGTGTCTATTAATTCCAAATTGTACGAGAAGATCGTGTGATTTTTTGTTTATAGTTCACTCAACAAAATTTCAGTAAAAAATTCGAAGCGACGCCGTTCATCTTCGTCTACTTGGCGGCCGATTTTCAGTCCATCGTGCAACTGAAATGCATAAAAAAGATTAGTTCTTACGGCTTTAAAATTTTATTTATGTTTTTTAAGTACAAAATGATAGAAAATAATTGATTTGACATTGTTTTGACCTTGTTGCCATAGCGACTTAATTCGGTACTCCTACGGAGTACAATTAACGCTATAATTGTACTCCTCTCGACCAATCAGAGTCGAGTAATTTTGTCGAGTTTACTATAAATTGGGTAATAGAGGGGCCGTTTACATGGAGAAAACTTGTCCCTGGTAGAAGGGATGCCCTTTCCCCCGAGCTACCCTGGGCGAACTAACTTTTCCCTTTTTTCTTTGTAAATTCATCTCGACCGTTTACATGAGATATTTTACTTTGTCTCGGCTAGAAGCCGGGTCACCTTACTGATAGGGTTAAGGTGCTGGCACACGGTGCATTATAAAATAACTGTTATGAATGTCGCGTTCTGATTGGCTTAGAGCGCGTGCTTTATGAGAGCACATTGCACGCGCGCGCACTTTCCGTTGCGTCATTCCTATCCATTATTGTAATAAGCCTTTTCATAGTTTAAGAATGGATTCCACTGCGCATGCGATTTTATCCCGAATTTCTCACCTTCTTTTGTCTAAACCTTCTTTTGTTCTTAATTAAACAAAAGAAAGTGAGAAATTCGGGATAAAATCGCATGCGCAGTGGAATCGATTCTTAAACTATGAAAAGGCTTATTTGTATTTCATAAAAGAAATAAAAAACTTGCTTGCTGTGCTGTGTGCTGTTATAAAGCACTTGGGGATTGGCAGAACACTCGAGAAGTGTCCAGAAGCACTCCGCTACGCGTCGTGCTTCTCCTAACACTTCTCTCGTGTTCTGCCAACCCCCGCGTGCTTTATGACTGCACACAGCACGCGCGCGCGTTTTCTATTTCTTCAACATTGCACGCAACATTGCAAGCAACAAATTTGAATCGGGGCCACACACATTGCAACAAAATCACGCAACATCGCTTGTGTCAGCCTGCTATGTTAAGATATTTGGTCAGCAGTTATAAATTTTGTGCAAGCTGATTTGGTGGAAATTTCAAAATGTTGCAGGTAATGTTGCAGCCATGGTCACATGATGAAATTTGTTGCGCGCAATGTTGTAAGAGGAGAGCGCGATTTGTTGCATGTAACGCTGCGTGCGACAAGTTTGGGGAAGACACACGCTGCAACATTCCTGTTACGTGCAATGTTGCATGCAATGTTGCACCGTGTATCAGCACCTTTACTATCTTTGTGAAAGAGGGTGACTCTGGTACCCGGGACAATGTTTCCCCATGTAACTCGCCTAACGGTGACAACTTTTCGTTTGAGCATGCGTATCTCCACTGAAACCGATAGTTGTCTCGGGACAACTTCTTTCCATATAAACGCTTGATATAGTTGGCTCGAGGAGTAGAAAGGTGTCCCTGCTACCAGGGACAAGTTTTCTTCATGTATAAAACGGACCCTAAGACACATGCATACGCATTTAGAAAAATAAATGTGAAAGACTACTCAGTAGGGCCGGAGAGCGCAACGGAACTCTAAGTCCCATGCTAGGCACACACATTTAGAAAAATAAAAGTGAAAGACTACCCAATAGGGCCGGAGAACGCCAAGAGGACTCTAAGTCCCATGCTAGGCACTTCCTTGAGGAATAATAATAATAATGATGGAAAGAACTTTTGCTTATTTACAAAAAATCTTTTTGTCAGGTTTTGTTTACATATTTAAAGCTTCTAAGAATATGAGAATTATTAGAATTATAACTATAAATTCAGCGGTGAAGTGAGTGAGTGAATATAGTCTTGAGAAGACTGTCGTTGGTGACTGACGTTTCGACAACCTGAGCGGAAGTCATCTCCAGAGTCCAGTCAGAAAAATTATGAATAATTATAGATTATAAATAGTTTTAAGCAAACAACGACACTCTTGATATTTGGCGGTTTTAAACCAAACATGTTTTGGCAGGTTCGACTGCCATCATCCAGTGAAGTACCCTGCGAGAAGAGTCTCCTTTTAACTCCTCCACGGGCGTAGAGGAGTTAAAAGGAGACTCTGCTCGCAGGGTACCAGTGAAGGTAAAGTAAAGTGAGATCACCACAATTAATATATATAGTCAGAGAACAATAGGTGAACAATAGGTTCTTCTAGATACACGTTAAAAATCAAGGAAGCATTACATCACGTTAACCTCAAATTAGTTCATTAGTCTATCGGGCTATAAATATTGTAATCTTACTTTACTTACCATCACTGACGATGGCGGTCGAACCTGCCAAAACATGTTTGGTTTCAAACTGCCAAATATCAAGAGTGTCGTTGTTTGCTTAAAACTGTTTTATTTCACTTGTTGTTGCTGCTTAGACCTTTTGGAAATTAATCATAATTATAAATTTAATTGTAGGACTTTTTTGAAAACCACTTTAGGCATAGAGTAGGGCAAACATAAATAAGAAATACCAGAGATTATCTTGATTACAAAAATACCAAAAGTTTGATAGACAAGGGAAAAATGATTAACCAGATGGCCTCACGACGCCATTTTTTTTTTTCTGGCAGGGATCAAGTAAAAATTGAAATATGTAGATCAGTATACTTGCTAAGGAGTGAAGGTATCGCTTACCAACCACACACTGCAGTCATACAGATATATTTTAGCGTTTCAACTATTATTCTTTTGGTAAAATCAAAAATACGAATAATCCCTGAGCCTTATTATGAAGAGGACGAAATAAAATTACATTTTTGGATAAATGCCTATGTACATATAAATGTCGTATTGCCAATCCATGGAGAAAGCACAAAGTCACGTAGCCTCGCCATATTCTCTTCTCGTATGATTGATGATTTACACGACAGGATACTGAAAATGATAAGACTCTTAGCAATGTTTTTCTTGTCCTTAAGGATATTTACCTACTAACGAGCTCAAATTAGAAGCCTTTTAGTTTATCAATCAGTACTTCATAATCATTTGAACTACAGTTAGTTCATCTACATGTTTGTCCAAGAAATGAGCTATTTTAGTCTCCTCAGCAGCCGTTGCCGAGGAGACTAGAGTTCTTTTGGCTCTAAATTTATACGAATACCAACAGTCGAATCAGTCAAAAGAATAATAAGATGCGTTATCAAGTTTTGCCTTGAGATGTTAATTGTTCAGTCATTCAATGCTAAAGAACACAGTTCGGAATGTGAAGTACTTTAATTTCTTGGTTATTTTGAGGGTCATCACTGTCGGGGCCAAACCTTCCTCCCTCCCCTCCCTTACTCGATCCATACCCTCCCACCTATCCTACGGCACCAGTTCAAGTATACTTGTACATGTAAGCCTTAATCCAAATGTTTTGACTTTATACTTGGTCAAGGAGTTGAATGGTTATGATACTGCTTGATTTGAGTGGTTCATTTTGAATCGAGAGAAATTTTTTTGTACGACTCTGACGTCATTGCAGTCATTATTTGATACAAAAAGTAACCATAGTTACGAAGTAACTTTTTATTTTTGTTAATAAATCAAAAGAAACAAACGTCATTGTTGTTCTGATCAAGAATGTAGAAACTGTATACATTAAGAGTATAGCAAATGAGAGTTACATTTATGACGTCAGAATCGTGTATTTCAAGTATAAATCCATTCTCTTTAGGATAAAAACACTATAAGACTCAAGAACCGAGTAGAGTCTACGTAGAGGGGACAGAGACCGTTTGCTTAATTAAAATTCAGTAATCAGGTCACGATTTGGTGTCACAGCCAGGGACAAGACGAATGTACACGTTTTTTTTAAATAAAAAGGAAAGAAAAGAGAGAAAATCCCAAAGCAATCCATATTAAATGTCAAATATCACTGAGCCCTCCAAGTCAGTGTTGCTGGGTTAATCTATTTTTCAATTTACTACTAAAAGGCTTTTTCAGTCACTACGCGTGTGATAGCAAGACTTTAAGCCTCACCGACAAAAATACAAGATTATTAAGTGTCTCGTTCAAATATTTCACTTGAATAGGTAGGCGACGGCACCTTTTTCTGCTCGAGATCTTTTGATAACGATTCAAGTAAGTGTACACACAAAAAAAATACCCACAATAAACTTTTCTCTCTATCTCGCTTCCTCGATGTCAGTTTTCGACTAATTGTGTACGTAGTCTATTTTTATATTCATTTTATTTGTTTTCCAGACAGGAATTATATATCGCCACAAGACAAAAAGCACTCAGAGTTAGTATTTGAACATTTGGCGAATAAAAACTATAATGTAGTACAACGAGGCTTACAAAATTCGAGATTAATTTTATGGCTCTGAAAAATAAACTTCATGCATGTTATATGAAAGTACGAATGAAGAAAAAACGATAGTTTTAACGACCTGGATTATAGGATTAAATAATTATAAGGATTTACAGTACTAACAACTGAACTGACGTCTTTAGTTCCTTCAAACCACTTTGGTTCCCGCCTCACGTATTCCTGTTTACAAAGAGCAACGGCAAACAGCATGGCTTTCAAAACAATTTTCCTTTTTAATGTTCTTAATATCCTATACATATTTTTTCTTCTTGTAACGAGTATAAACCGGCGAAAAGGAAGAGAAATTCGATGATTAATCCCTCATATTTAATATCCTACTAATTTTTCAAAGAACCCCGCAGCCAGTTTAAGGATTACATATCTCTCCCGTGTTCTCATTAAACCAACATCTACATTAAGGTCTTATTCTAATGCTAACCCTTACCAGATGGCCATACACCCTGTCTTTCACGTGGCGAATCAGTGGTCAGTTTTCCTTCCTATCAGTATAACATTTTGTGACAAGAACAGTTTTACAAAATGATTCGCTTGTCATTTCACTATATTATTCTAACAAAGTTTATTTTATTGCTGCTTTGTTTAAGGAAAAATAATATACGAGTTATTCTGTTTTTTATTTGGCTTGACGTTTACTTTCCTTTCAGCTGCTAACGCAGTATTTACGACATACAAGCAATCATGGGCGTAGTCGGGGGGGGGGGGGATTGGGCTCCCCCTTTGTTTCAACAAAATGGCGGCTTTTTAAAATTTATACGGTAAGTAGTTTTCATTTTTTTCATAAATTTTGTAAAAATAATATTATTTTTTGAAAAAATTATTTATTATTTTTTTGTTTGGGGCTGAAACAAAATGGCTTTTTTAAATTTGGGCCTCCCTCTTCGCCGGAAAATCCATGCTACGTCCCTGCAAGCAATACCCAGTTCCTTAACAAGCTACAGCCCATCGACATTACCAACAAAATCATTGATTTAGCAATTACCAAGGTTAGCAATTTCATGAAGTCAGAATAGAACTCTAAGTGTCTTACCCTTCCTTACATTGACAACCAAGTCGGATCTGAGAACTAAGATAACTGATCATTCAATTTCGGAGAGATTAAGCTAGTTCACGGTCGTTATGGTTTTGCGCGCGGCTAAACGGAGGTGGTGTAGATCTGGAATTCGATCTATTGGTATTTATTTTTGATAGGATTCGCACAGGCCGGCGATCCAGAAATGCAGTTCTCTTTCGCTGTCTGCATTCAGAGTTATTAGTGATCTGTTTTCTTTGTTAATCTACTTGATTGTATTAAGTAAGCTGATAGAATCACTCGAAACACGAGTCGAGCTAGGATCCGCTTTGTAATCTATGGTTTTTCTAACCGTCCAACCACAGATCAGCTTGCACTGACGCCCACTCTTCCTCGACTCTCCGTAAACTCATACGTTAGCAGCAAATGTCAGTAGAGTTATYATGTTTGACTCGGAACATGACACTTTTTACTGACGCTTTTACGCCACAAAAAATACCACAAATAGATCAAGGAAGGAGTACTTCTAGCCATTAGAGTCTCGCTCGCAGTCACCGGTAGACCTGTTAAACCCTTCGTGTTGGCAATTGTGAAAAGTCTTTGAAGTAATGACGAGAGATCCGTCTAGAAAGCGAGACCTGTTTTGAAGATCAGTTACTCTGATACACAGATTATTTGTGACACCATGGCTTCAAGTCCAAACTCGAGTGAGGTCTCCGTACCGACAAAAACGGTCAATTCAATGGCTATTACCCAGATTGAAGTGGTTCTTCTCTCATCTTTGAACGTGCTAAGCACTTTAATTGGTACTTTTGGTAACATTTTAGTGTTTCTTGTCGTTGCTAAGTGTCGCTATCTCGGATGGCAGAAGACTGAATATTTCATCTGCAGCTTGGCTGGCTCTGATCTTTTGGTTTGTTTGGTCGCACAACCGATGTACATAACTCACTTAAATGAAGCTCTTTCCACGAGAATCAATACCTTGCGTACAACTGTAACATGGATAGCGACTTTAGCGTCCGTAAGCAGTCTCCTGACCATATCTATTGACCGCTTCCTTGCTCTTCTCTTTCTTCGCCGGTACCGGACTATGATGAAAACAAGAACTGCGCTCATCCTCGTCATGGTAACATGGCTATTTTCTGTCGCTATTGGAATATCGGCTTCTTCATTTCATCGTACACTGCGCTTTGTGGCGCAGTATTTCGTAATCGCAGTCTTAATAGCCGTGCCGATATTTTATGTTGGAATATTCCTCATTGTTCGTATTCAGTGCTCAGAGATGAAGAAACGTTTCCCGTCTCTATCTCGCACTCTACGCACATTCACCCGTGAAAAGACCATCGCAAAGTTGATAGCAATAGTGATTGGAGTGTTTTACATTTGTTACACTCCTCTTATTGTGCTGCCCTTTTTCTTTGGTTCTCGGAGTTCGAGGTTTATAGCCTTGAGGGTGTTTCCATGGGTCAATACCCTGGCTCTATGCAACAGCTGCGTCAATCCATACATCTACTACTGGAGAAGCTGGAGATTCCGTTATGCTATCCAGAATATGCATCTTGGAAAAACCATGTTCAGAATCAAGTCAAAAAGGATAGATCGAGAGGTTGTAAACGCGGTTTGACAGTTTTGACGTTCAAAAAAACCATACAAACTTAACTTTATTGAAAGTGTATGAAACGGGATATTACTCGCTAATTATGTGTCAAGGATGCGACAAGCCAGGGAAATGACTGCAAGTCAAAAAAAAGGACTACTTCAAATTCGGTTTCTTTGAAATTCCACCAATGTTTAGCCTTTAAATATATTGCCTCAAAAAACGATTCACCAACTGGAACGACTGTAAATTAACAAAACTAAGATATGGCGTTTGAATCAATTTTTTTTGGAACGTTAACCTCTCGCTGAAACATTATGATGCAAAGTATTGTTATGCACTTCAATCTTAAAACGTGTCAAGGGGGTTAGACGGTGTTAAATACCTCCCCCATGCTGGGTACGTGACAATCTGCAAGACTTAAACGGTAAAAGAAAGAAAATAACTATTGTCAGATYGACTCTAATTTTTTTTTTTGCAAGCAGTTCTATTGAGAGAACAGCAATAGCTTGAAATGACGGAAAAAGATAGTGAAAAAGTTCTCGCGGAGTTCGAGTTCGAGTTCTGCTGGGTTCGGTGTCGTACCGTATGTGAGTAGGTAGAGTTGTTTGTTGGTTCTCTCCTGTGCTTCGAGGGTTTTTCTCCGGGTTCTCCGGTTTTCCTCCCTCCATAAAAATCAACTTCTAAATTCTAATTCGATCTTTGGGTTTTCACTTAGTTTGGAGCCTAGCTCTGTTGTGATTGTCCCACGCTGTGATACGACAGCGAAAGCTTTGTAGATCTTGAACTTTACTTCGTCTAGTTAAGACAGGTTGATAGGAATCAATTTGAATTATCGTCTATGACAGAACTTCATCCCTAATGTACTTTTGGTAAACATCAAGTCATTACAATTTAATTTTAAGAAAAAAATAATAAAAAAATAAATCATTCTCGGCGTATATGAACTACCGTTTGATGGCACATTTCCCCGCTTAAATGGGCTGACAGCTAGCACGATTGATGCTGAATTCAAAGCTTAACTCGATACTCCGAATGTCTATAGATTTGAATCTCGTTTGCAGGCTAAAAAGGCCGAATTGGCGCAATCTTGACAGATTGAAGAATACGAGATTTGCAAGACGTTTGCTGCGACTGTTGTGTTGCAGCATGTCACCACTTATTGACTTGGACATCACTCAATTAATCTGTTCAAATTCTTGATTTTCATATATCGCAAAATGGAATCAAATGTATAGCAAACACTGAGAGCAGTCTACATCAGTATTTAGATATATGACGACATAATGGGAGCATGAAACGCAAGGCAAGAATTGAACTGCTGCACTCACACTCCGTCAAAAATGAACTAAAAGTATTTATGAACAAGTTTACACACTTCTTAAAATCGAAGTCAGGATGTTAAGTGATAATTTACAAAATGTTAACTAATTAAAGGTGGCCGACTACTTTTCAACATTCGATTTGATCCTGCGATGTGCGCGCGCTCAAAACCCGATGAATAATTTTCACGATTTTATTGAAGAACCATGAACGTTTTGAGGGATCGGACTCTATATTTTTTGTTCTTTTCCGGAATAACAGGTAATATCCCATTATTTTTCAAAGTTTAAGACAATTCTGTTTATCAGAACAATGTAAAAAATCGTTGTTTGTTTTGTGCTCAATTTTTACGATAACTTGCACACCGTAGAACCTGAACAAAAAA